ATCTATTGCTATTTTGTTACATATTTAATAAACAAATTCAGCTAAAATTCAAATTATTCATGAATCTCTAATCATGAATCTCCTATTGGTTGTGACGTCTCTGGTCATATAAATGGCGGATTGTCTACGTTCTATGCATAGTGTTTAGTTGTGTCATTGTGTTTCGTTAATCATTTTGTGGATTTAAATGATTTATAGTTTGTGTTAAACTAAAAAATCGCTTCAGAAGGATTCCTTAAAGCGGCAACAAACAATTTCCCATGTGTACATATTTTTATGGTTACCGAATTTTTAAAAAACGACGAACGCTTTAGTTCAGCCGAATTTAAGGATGTCAAAGCAGCAGCGTAAGTAAAAATCCGTAAATTCATTATTAGTTACTCTCTCCTTAATATACTAATCTGTCTGTATTAGTTTAAATTAGGTGAATAACATATAGAGTTTCGTCATCATCACGAGAACAATATGGTGATATCGGATATGTGGAATTGAAACGCGAGGAGGGCTTTTGGGACACTTTGTACATTATAAAAATATTTTTAAAATGTGTACCCGATATGCGTCTGTGGATTCTGGCTAGCGGCAAACGTCCGTGCCGTTTAGCGTGAATAACCCTGTATAGTATATGTATATGTGCATTGGTGGAATAAAACCAGATCTAGTGTTAAATACGGGACAGCGAATTTCATAATCCACTAAATAAAACACCAAAATGTCCATATATCATACTTTATTTTCTATAATCGGTGCGCTCAAAGTGCATTGCTCGGCCTCTGCATTCGAAGCACTCCATGAGTTCCACCACTGGATCTTGGCCGATCCGAAAATCATAAAGAATGTCGCAGTAGTAGCGGTTATCACAGACACTAGAAGAAACACGTTCCTCCAAAGGAGAATGTCGCTCTGAAAAAAAGTCACACAATTCCTCACTTAGAAACGCGAGTGAGTTCAGCCCCTTACCAAATCTGGCACCATGTATTGCACGAAAATGGGCCCAGTTAATCCCACCATTTGCGATATACTATTTTCCATCCCCAGCATCAGTCCGGCGTATTTTGGGGAAATATCCACATGGTTTATATAGGAGCCATTGTACAAGAAGACTGTTAAACCGATTATAACGTTCAGTAGGATGATTATCAGTGTTGCCTGGGATTTGCTGATGAATGCCAGCCACACTAGGGTGGCTGCCGGCACCAAGGAACCTAAAAAAATATGGGCTTAAACTGCTTACCATCCAGCGATCCGCATTTGCCATTCTGTGAACAGAACTCACCTAAAACTTGGAATAGTCTGCGGCAGTTCATCAGAGAGATGACCTTTTTCTCCACAATGTAGTCGGTTACTGGGGCAAACACCAGCGAAAGTCCCAGCTGGGTGATTTGGGGCAAGGATGAAATAATGCCGTTCTACAACGTAAATATTGATGTGAAACTCACACAAGGAGAAGGCAGAATCCAAGCCTACCGTCTTAATGTCGAAGCCCAGGACCTTCTGGAGATAGGTGGGGACCTCCAAGTCGAACAGAGTGATTCCCCAGGTGTTGCCGATGTTGCAAATGGCGAGCGCCCAAAACGGAAGCGAAGTCAAAATTTGCCTTATCGGCAAGTTGGAGTCGCTCTGAAAAAAACGAAACTGTAACCATTCCGGGAGGCTTGCCCGAACCCCACCTACCATTTCCTCTTCGCAATGTTCCAAAGCCTCCATAATGTAGTGCTTTTCGGCTACGCCGATTCGAGGATGTTTCGCCGGACTGTCGTACCCCAAAAAGAACCACGCGATGCACCATACGATGGTGGTGGCTCCGAATAGGTAAAAAACCAGCGGCCACCCATATACCGAGGACGAAATCCAGCCGGTTATCAACATGGCCAGGATGACTCCGACATTGCACCCTGAAAACTCTTTCGTTAAGCGCGTTTTAGACCGGAAAATGGTCAGCGGATTACCTGAGTAGATCAGAACGGTCAATTTCGAGCGTTCATTGAGCGGCGCCCAAAGCCCCAAAGCCGCATGGCACGCTGGAAAAGTAAATCCCTGTAGCAGTCCCTGTATCATGCTGTAAACGTTTGTTTAACTATATTTTTACTTTTCAATATATCAACCGTCGCTCCCACCACACAACTGCAATCAATTTTTAGGAGGAATTCTGATATGGTCACCATTTTCCACCAACATATTAGAATAGGGTGTTATCATTGTATCAAAATGGTAATATATATACAGGGTTATCCACGCTATACGGCACGGAAGGTTGCGGCTAAACCGTTTGATTTTTAAAAAGTATTATTTTATGAATTGTCCGACGCCTACCGAGCGCACATTTTCAAAATATTTTTGTAATGTACAGGGTGTCCCAAAAGCTCCAAAGGTATCAAAGTTGCGTTTTTTTAAATGGAATGTCCAGTATATTATTGCAACAAAATAAGTGTCTGTTTTAATAAGGTTTATAATACCTAATTCTTAAGGTTTTTTAAATAATGCGAATTTAATCAAAATCTAATCTAATTTTCACATGTCAAATACTTTAGAAGTATTTAAGTTATGTAAGCGTAATCTATAGTGAAGTGCAACAAGATATAATATTTTATATCCCAATGATAATAAACTTACCATGTTATACAGGGTGTCCACAAATTGAAACTAATCAAATAAGAACTTTAAGCGGCTCTAACTTGATTAATTTAAATACAACCCCATATTTTTTAACTTATCAAGAAATGCAATTTTTAATTACCTATCGAATGGTATTAGAATGTTAATAGTTAAGTTTTTGCCTTTTTACAAAATACGTCAAATAGTCGTTCTGTGCACCATTTGGTGATGGTTTAATTTAAGGTTCCAATGTATCTAAGTTGGCTATGCCATTTACACATGTCAATTCATTTATTTTATTTGTCAGTTTAGACTGCAAAGTCTCTTTTTGATAGCTAGAGTGGTATTGTTTTTTGTAATTGTAGACGTGTTGGTCGTTATTTT